GATGACCTAGAATTGACCCTAATGATTCTCTATGCGAACAGCAGATGTCCTCGATTTCAGTGAACAATGTTTTTGKTCTTTGTTCTACATTTTTTCTCTTGTGGATACCACGGAGACTTTTATCGTTTTCTATGTCCTTTAAATTTGGAGAGATCTCAATTGAATCAGTCATATCCGCGGAGTCATCACTTGTTGTTGGCGACGAAGGCGGGAAAGATTGCTTACACTTTTGACCCCTTGTATTCTTCAGAGCATTCGTCTTCACTTTAGCTACACCTGCTTTCTTGTAATCTACTAATTGGCTTTGGAGTTTTATGATTTCACTGGTTTGCTCTTTTAACCCTATTCTTGCCAAGTTTTTGATGGGAGTCTTCCAGTAATGCCAAGTTTTGCATTCGGGAGGAAAAACACGGGTCCACATTTTCGGTACAAAATCATCGCTATTTTGATCATCAAAGCTCAATTCTTTCTCTGAATACTCAGAATTATCGCTAAAATATCGCTGCTTTCATCGCCGTTTCTTTAATTTGGATCAGACATCTAAAAACTACATATTTTCAACTAATTAGACAACAAGAATCATGCGAAAATCCTCCATATTTATTAGAAAATCCGCACGATTTGCTCGAAAACTCACCACAAAACGATCGATGTTTTCACTTCGGTTTGACTTCAAAAATGCGATGCCTCGATTCCATGATGCTTTGTTAATATAAACAAAGCTTTTGATTCGTCGAGAGAACAAAAGAACATGGGTTTTTGACCAATCAAAAAGCGATGGCTCAAGTGAGCCGATCTAATCGGCTCTGGGCAAGACTAGGCATGTCGTGCGTGCCGATTAGATCGGCACTTGGCAGCATTAGGGTTAATTTTGAGTGGAGGTCATCAATCCTATATTGCAGGAGCCTTGCACGGTCTGTTGAATCATCAATCGGTGTAGAGCTACCGTTCGTATTAAAACTATAAGAATTTACAAAATCGATGAGGTTTTTATAGTCCTTCG